GTCTGGCGTAGAGAATGTGATGTAACAGATAATGGAGTGTTTTCATGATATGAAGATTTATGAAGTATTCCAGTTAATTTGTTAGGTAATTTGAGGGATATGGGTAGTTATTCTAAGCAGCTTCTTGCAGATGTGGGAGAAATTTTCAGCACCTTATGCATCACAGTGAAGATTATCGCTGATTACTTGTTTATTTTTCATTTCACCTCAAATAAGCTATGCATGGTTTATCATGTAGATCATCTACAGATGCTAATGATATTATCTTGTAAAACACAGGTTTTGTTTGGGATTGTAATGTTTTCTTCCTAGCTGCTGAATTAGATTTAAAAATATTATATGCACAGATGTAAACAAGCCTCCTCTTCTAGATCTGAATATATTATACTGTTTCATGATCAAGCTCTGGTATTGGACAGAGATGAATTTTCAAAAGTGCAGAACATTGTAGATGTTGGATGTTGTAGGATGTTGGATAAAATCTATCTTGAAACTGAATCTGTACTTCCATTTGAAAACATTTGTGAAGTGTTTGACAATAGAATTAAATTTTATTGACTTTCAATTAGTGCAAGTATTGGTCCCGCAAATATTGACTAAGACAACACTCTCAACAGAAGACCTATGAAAAGCTTGTTTTTCTAAGTAATTAATACAAGTATCTTTTCAGTCGACATTAACACTTAGATGTGTTAACTAACAGAAGAGATAAATACTCGGATTTTCTCTTATCTCATTTTCATTCTTTCTTAGTTCTGTTTTTGTGCATAACTCAGTTAAAGGATTCATGTGAATAAAGGGCTCTGGAAAATGTGTTAATAAAATGGTAACAATGGAATGGCCCAGTAGAACAATTCTTGAGATAAATGGATGTATTCTTGATTGTTTTTAATAAATGGTTAAAGAAGTACGTTGTGCAAATTACTAAGATATGTATTAAATCATTTATAGAATTGAATGTATGCATAATAATTTCTACATTTTTTCATTAATTTTAATAAATTTATTGAAGGTCACTAGCATGAAATTCCACAAACTACAACAATGGCATGTAATTATTTTTTAAGGAATTGCCCCATTTTGTGTGATCCTGGTTTTACACAGAAGATTGCTAAAGGTGAATACATTGATATTAAGACTCTTGTAGTACAAATTTTACAGTATGTGAATTCTTTATCGTTTTTATTGCTATCATATTGTGGAAACAAAAACTCAGTAAAAGATAAGTTATTTGAGTAAAAATGGGGGGCATCTGAAGAAATTGCTTTGCGTCAGAGCATTATTGCATTAAGGTAGAAATAATATGTGCTGCCTTTGGTTCGCTATGATGGATCATAATTAACAAAGTTTTACCTGGCAAATCTGCCAAAATCTCATCATTTTGCTTTTGTTTTCTGTGATGTTTAATTTCATTGTAATGTAATTTTCATAATTTCTTTTGGCATCAGGTTTTTTTTTTAACCATGCTGTTTTGTTCATGGTATGGGTTATAGTCTTGCAAGGTATGAAAGCATGAGTATGTCGACAATGCTACTAGGGACAAAAGGTGGATCTTAGGCTTGTTTTTTGTTTCACAGGACTTATGTCAACCTCCATCATATTTGTTCAAGCAAATAAGAATCAATCTGGGGGGTTTCATTTTTTTTTTAATGAAATAATGAGGTAGGGTTTCAGTTTTTGCATATGGATCATTTTGCAGTAATAGAATATTGAGAAAAACTTTTGTTCAATAAAAAGGTGTCCTTGCAAGAGTGTAACTTGCGCAGATGCAGCTTCACATAAAGGCATTAATTTCTAGGATAAAAATTTTATATCTTTCTAATATTATAGGCAGACATTATCTCTGTTATTGATAGAAAAACTCTTGATTATGGCCCTTTGGTGCAATTCATAAATGCACTGTACTGCACAACATTTACTTTCTTGAGATAGGAGGCTTCTATGTATCTTTTAAAATGTGCATGTTCTCTAAAATCTTCTAAAAGGTGGATAATTGTCTGTGGATTAGGGAAGATAAAACTGCAGTTTATTACTGATAATTCACTCCCTTCCCAGCTAACCCCCTCTTTCATTAGAATCAGTAATTATCAACAGCAAAGATTAAGTTTTTATATTTTAAAAGCAGTTTTAGATGTGTAATCAGAGCATGGGAGGTTGTCGCTTTAGTGAAGCGCATAGTGATTAGAAGTTTAATCCATCTATCATTGTTAATCTTAATCCTTTAATCTTATTTGAGCTGTTGTACATAATGTTTTTTCCCCACATTTGCAGGTAAATATTTCGGTGTTTATTGATGTGTGATATAACAACCTTAGAGTGACGATTTCTCAATGGCTCGACAGTTTCTTACATAAATATTTCATTTGGAAACTGAAAGCATCAAAGAACCACGGTCACCAAGAACATTTAATTTTAAGGTTTGTTTAATTATGATTTAATTTGTAATGCAAAAAAAAAAACAAAAAAAAACAAGTCCATTCAAGTTGGTCTGGAGGAGTTAAGTTTGTATTTCTATATAAAATTCATTCATAGGAATGAGAGTTACATAAAATTGAAATTTTTTTTAGCATTTTAATTTTTTTTTTTTTTACATTGTACTACTGTAAAACTTCAGAAGTGATGGACTTTTCATTTTAGCTGGACATGCATTTATTTTCATGTCAGATCATCAGTATGCATTGCTATATTCCATATAACACATTGTGTTGAACATGTGATAACTTTTTTTTCATCACATTGAATAGTTTATTAACAAATTAGAGAATTTTAGGACAATTTTAAATTTTCAATGTATCCATTCTGACAAAACTTGCAAATCATAGAATAAAAATGATATTCATGCATAATCGATTTTAGTGAGCTATTGTTACAGTATTATTTCTAGCAAAGTGTGACATACTGAAAATGAAACAGCAAACAAGTCATCAAATATTTTTAGTTATATGATTATGGAGAGAACTGATCAATGGTGTTTTTAAAAGAAATAACAAAAAAATCAAGTTCCTGAAGACATATCAAGAAGAGGTAGTTCTAGAAACATTTCATCACATGCAGGGATGTTTTGTTCTAATTTGGCAAAATGACAAAGTTGTACTGTGTGGCAGAATGACAATATATAGCAACAATAAGGATAGTATTTTCTTTGTATTTGGAAAAGAATGTAATTGTGAATACAATGTAATTTAAATTATAAAAGACTTTTCTATAGCAGGCTACTTTTTTTTCATAATTTAAATTTCAAATTGACTGCTCATACTATCTTGTTTCAGTACTTAAGGTGTTGTAAAACTCTGTTAAAGCAAAGCCCTGGAGACATGTAAATTTACTTTGTTATCATAATTCTTTGTAGCTGTATAACTCCTTAAAGTATATAAAGCAAATAAGCAATATACATATTTTCCTTCAAGTATGCCTACCAAATACAGAGCCTTATTAGGTACAAAACTTACATTGGAGAACTAAAGTTTTCTGATGCAAATGAGTTGGTAAAAGTTTACTTTGAGTTTGGATTACCTACTTTTTCTAATGCATGAAGTTCAAATGAACGAGAAGTAGCATTCAGTTGTGATGTAATAAGGCACTTATGTTGACATTGACATCTAACTTCTCGGTTTTTCTATATAGCAGCTAAAAACTTCACTGTAGCAGAATGGAAATAATACCCTTCTCAGCGGAATTGTTGGAGAAAATACCCCTCAGTCTCAGGATTTTGTTGACAAATAAAAACCTCACTCCTCCAGCTCAGTTTTTATTTGCCAACAAAATCTCTTGACTATCGGGGTATACTAGGAATTATTTCTTAAATTCGCTATGTTTGTGTTTGTACTAAATGAGTTTTACTGTAAAATCTTTTAGATTGATAGACTTATAATCAAAGTTTATGTTACTGTAAATTTGTTTAACCTTTATCAGAGATGTATATTGAAGTCCCTTTGTTCTTTAATTGTTTTCAATGAATTCTACATTTTAAAAAATCCACTGCCTTTTAGCTATTTATGATTTTTAAAGTCTTTATTTTTGAGTATGAAAATTTCAGTCTGAAGTTTTAATTCTTTGATGTGCACTACATAAAACTGAATATGGGTTTTCCATGTTAATACTAAATTAATGTCTCCCAATGGATGTACATCTCTGATTGCAGAGGGTAATTGGTATGCAAACAAGCACTTGGATAATTCGGTCAGAGTAATGCATAATATTGGAAGAAGATGTAGATATCTCTCAAGGGCTGTCCAGTTCCTGATATTTGATGTCTCATCTATTCTATAATTATCACAATGTAATCAAGATAGCTATTTGTTGAAATGGAAACAAATCATATAGCATCATTTCTGTGTCAGATATATATGAAGAGTTAAGCCATTCTCATGTGTTTTGCATTGAAAAGATGCGATGCATTTCGATAAGCTTCATGCAGTATTGGAATGGTATTTAGGCAGTGATTTCTGATTGTTACAGTGGGTTTTGGGTAGGCTTTATTTCACGTGTTTTTCTTGAAAGATATGATAAAAGATGTAGGTTTGATTGAAATATTATTGGAAAATATGGTTTTGGGGGATGAACTTGTCTGAATCCAACAGCGTGATTTTTTACATTAATGGGACATTTTACGAGCCTCTTTCTCTTCTTTCCACAGGATTATTGTCAAAAGGCGTTCTTGCCAATAAAACAGGTATATTCTGAAAAGGTTTCCTTAAATTGCAAAAGACCATTAAAATAAAAGTTTTGCTTATATTACATCAGTTGGGAAAAATAAATACTCGATTTGTTAGCGTGTGGAGAATTAAGTGTTAATTAAGGTGTGAGAACTGAAGGAACGGAAAAAAATATCCATGAGGGAGAGACTTTACATGTGTGTGTAATTATGCAGACATAGTTCCCCATGCAGTAATCGGACGTGGCAGATGACTTGCTATACTTACTCTATACCTACCTCAGATATTGTGAGCAGTCACTTTATGTGTTAGGTACCAGAGAGGTGAAACACAAATATTACAGTGGCCTTTATCAGAGGAGTTTTAAATTAAAACGATTCTCAAAGGATTTTACTACTAATTCTATATTGTGTGTGTTTTCAATTTATTTTTCTATTGCGTGTGCTGACTTTACATTGGAATTTGTTAATTTATGGTGATTGCCTGTTTTATTTGAGGAATTTTTAAATTAATCCATCAGGTAAAAAAAAAATTAATTATAATTTGAACGGTTGTAAATATTGACAGAATGTGATTTTAGATAATGAATGTTGAGCTACATGATATGTAAAGATTTGTCCGTGTTGATGGCAAAGGAGTTGTGTAAAACATTAATATGAAGTGTAATGCATGTTTATACCATTATAACAAAATATTTTGGTAAATACAAGATAAAAATCAGATCAAGATGCACAGGTGCTGCTATTTATAAGCCTTATTCTAAGCTACATCCTTAATGTCAGAATCTCGTCTTTTACATGCGATGTTCTTTATTATGCCTAATTTTTTTTCCTCACTGCAGAAACATGCAGTGGAGTTGAGATGCATGTAGTTTTTGTGTGGATCAAATGTTTCATCAAAGCTGGATAATACTGATTTATATCAACATATTTCTATGATATGGGAGTATTGTCTGTTGCACACTTGCACAACTCTTCCATAAGAACAATTCAGAACAAATTAGCTATGACATTATAGTTTGTTTCCTTTTTTTCTTTATCGATCATTTTGAAGTTGCACATGCTGTAGTAAATGAATTTAAGTTCTCTTAATATCTTATGTTACACCATCTTTTCTCTGAACTACGATGGCCGATATGGGCCGGACAAAAAGTAACCACGAGTTGTGTTCGATTTGCCGGCAATTCTTAGATTCCGGCAAAAAGTAACCATGAGTTGTGTTTGATTTGCCGGCAATTCTTAGATGCCGGCAAATCTTAGGTACCAGCAATTCTTATATATATTATTTAATTAAAATGCCAGAGGATATCGAGGTCACAGAAGTCTAGTTAACTTAACAGGACAAAGGGTTTGACAAAACACAGAGTACTGAGAAAAGTGAGGAGGAAAACCGCATACAGACAATGTTTAAGGGGTTTCCAGACCTGTGCACTCCACATAAACGTATATTAATATCTTTTAAATTCATTACCAACCCATATTTTATTTGATCTTCAATAGTTGTGTTATTTATTTTAATATCAAAGCCATTGTTTCCTCAAATACCAAATGAACGCTGTGCACTCTGCCTGTTGATTGACGGCCCAGCTACATGTAGTCAACTGATTAGCTGTTTTAAAAAACTTGCCTGGTTATTAAACTACCATAAACAATTAGGAGGGTGATAATGAGAATACAGAAAACTTCTGAATTTGTATTGTCCATTTTAATCTAGGCCCTGTCATATCTTAATGAAATATTATGAAAAACCGGAAAACGAAACTTCTGTTTCCCTGAGGATGAAGAGCAGTTTACACTTGTCGATTTGCGTATGTATATCTGCAGGACCTCATATATAAAGGAGGCACGATATACATTACCCAAGAAATGTTTTTTTTTCTAATATACTTGATTTTCAAACATTTTGTAAAAAGACAGTGAACGAAACCCAGACCAGTGTTGAAATAGCCCCCCCCCCTTTTTAATTTTCGGGGAGGGGGATGCTGCTTTCTAGCCATTTAAATAGCTTCACTTCGTTTTGATATGTCATAAATAATGCCACGTATCGAGTGAAACTGTTTTCTTTGTCAAACCGTTTTCCCAATTAAGATAACTTTACCTTTGAGACCTCTAGTATTTTAATTAAATATTTAAAATAAGAATTGCCGGTATCTAAGATTTGCCGGCATCTAAGAATTGCCGGCAAATCAAACACAACTCGTGGTTACTTTTTGCCTGTATCTAAGAATTGCCGGCAAATCGAACACAACTCGTGGTTACTTTTTGTCCGGCCCATATCGGCCATCGTACTGAACAAAGCTTCTTTAAAATGATTAGTGTTCATGTGAAAGGACATTTAATGAGTGAAGATTATATTTGTTTTATAAAGTTAGTGATTTAATTAATTAGGTTACATAATACAATTAAAGTAGGTTAGTTTCTGCTACCTTACATTTCCCTATTACATCAGGAACTGGATTGCTTTACCTTGACATCCATGTTAAGCATCAGTTTGTCTTGGTAGGCATTTCAATTTAATGAGCTCATTTGTGTGTGCCATTTTCTTGAATTTTTTTTAAGCAAAATATTTTTTGTCAATTGTGTTTTCTGTCAATAGTCTTACGATTTTTTTTTCTTCATATGTGGGAGAAATTTACTCATTAGCATAGGGTGCACATATTCAAAAGCCGTGAATATTTCTGAATAATAAAAATTGGATATTTGACACCTTTAATATAAAATCTTTATATCGTAATGCTGGCATTATTTGATTTTCAAACTCAGTTATAGTCAGCTGGAAGAGCTATTGTAAGTTTTCAATTAATGGTTTGTGTTATTACCAATGCAAGGACATGTTTTACATATGAAAGGTAGGTTTTAGTTTGATTTTCAACTGAAGTTTTCATGCTGTCTTTATCAAGTAAAAGTTTTTCCTTGTGTAGTTTTTTTGAGTAATATATAAATTATCATACACTCTGCCCTGTTTGAATATTAATTCACAAAAATCTTCAATGGAAGGATTTTGTTTTTAGAATATGATGGTGAAAATGTGCAATTTGGCATGAATGTTTTAATATTTTAAAAAAAAAAATGAACAACTCATTTACTGTTAAAGTACATTATAGCTTTAATCGTTTACCAGTACTTTGGAAGGTGAGAGCTAGGAGAAATGAAAAAGCTAAAGAATGTGTATTTTGAGCAGATTTGGGCAGGTGCAAGTGCATGTACCTGGTATAAAGAAAAACACAAGTCAAACAGTTCCCTCAGCAGATGCAATGAGGAACTAGCTTGATTAAATATGAGTGACTAAATGGAAGTGACCATAAGATCTGGAAAGCTTTGTTTGTGCTATGTCTGCAATGGTGGTGTTCACGGAGTAAGCCTCAGTGGGAGGCTGCTAAATGTCTGTTACATGGCTCTGCAGTGTGTTTTCACTGATTCTGTTGTTACATATTGTGTTCACTATTGTTTTGGAATCATTCTGGCAGTACTCCATGTCTTCAGTATTATGAAAGCATAGTGCAGCTGTACCAAGAGAGTGACATGACTATGTGACAAAAAACAAATGTTTTACACCCACATCTTGTGTATTAAAATAGTGAAAATACAGATATTTTTGCAAATAACCCTGGGTAGTAAATTATTTTGAAAACAATGTCAGTTTTGTACAAAAAGCAAAGGTGTTAATTATGCACAGAACTTCCAACTTCAAGGGCCATGGTGTAGACATTGTAATTTTCCATCTACGTAACCCTAATTAAGGAAGGCTTTGTGATAGACAGGTTCTACAAAGTGGATGAAAAGAGGCATTAGTTTTTGGAACATGCTAGGATTTTGCTGGACCTTTTAATGAGAGCAACAAATGTTATGCAAAGAAAAATCCTGCAAAAATCTTGACAGTGGTAGTCAAATCATTTCGTAAATGAATATTCCAGAGTATTCTGTAAGGGATACCTTCGCACTTGATAGCTCAGCACCCAGCATTCATGATTCACATATTTTTATATTTTAAGATTGATTTGTTATGGGGTTGATATGAGAAAAAGAATGACAAAGAAATGAAGTTATGGAATTGTTATGTAACCCTGCATTGCAGAGTTAAGGATGCATATCAGCTTGCAGTTTGTTAAATTAAGTGTATGCATGAATACAACACATAACAAACTGTTCTGCTCAAAGTAATTTTTACCTGGTATTCTTTAAAATTTTGCTGAAATAGTGTTGACAGATACATTTGTGACTCTGAAATAACAGTTCTTATTACAAGTAAACCATCATTTAAAAAAAAATCATTTATAGCCAGCTTATGCACAAAAGTGGTACAAAGTCTCAATGGATAGCACATATTCATCTCTGACTTAAGCAACTTTAAATCAAAAAGTAGAGCTACATTCTTGCCAGAGATTTCTGTTTAAAATCTTCAAACCATCTGCACTTGGTAACACAATGCTTTACTTTGCACGAAATGCATTTTGTTACTCAATTTTATGATTTCCAGATAAAGACAAAGTTGTTTTTGATGAAATCTAAAGGTGTCAGAGTGGGTGTAAGACTAAACTTGGTAGTGGGGACCCATTTCTGTATGCTCTTTGATGGCAGTGAGGGTGACTGACAGATTTGAATAATTGATACAGTCAATGAATTGATTTATTTCAAGGCCTTATTATTTCACAATTAGTCATTACTTCAAGTTTGATTCCAAATCTATCTGAGACTCTCAAGTATTTATAGACATTAGTTTTCAGTATTTTCAGTGTATAGCACTTAAACTATGCTGTGTTTGAAGTATGCTTTGATTTCTAGGATTTTTAATGCAGTGTGTGGGAACATGGCTATAGAGTATTCAATAGTAACAATATTAATGTGTTTGTTTTTAAAAATGCGCAGTTTTTATTGGAAAAAAATATTACTCCTAATCGAGAAGGTGTGTCTACAGTGTAAAACATGAAGACTAAATTCAGTCAGAGATGTTTATGCTTAAAATATTTTTTTTTCTAGGATAGAAACAGAACAGAAGAAGACATATATTTATTTTCTGGACTACAGTCTGCTATCATGAGAAATCAGTTTGAGGGATTTTAAATTCATTTACGGAAAGGTGAGTGAGAAAGTACTTTAGAACTGTACTACTTGATATGAATAGTATTGAAGGGGAAAGAATATTTAGAAAGAAGAGAAGAAATTTACTGGGTTTTTTGAGTTAAGATTTAAATAATGTGTGCAATAAAAGAAATGAATTGTAATTTTTGGCTACAACTCTCCTGATATTATTGATCCCAAGCAGCAATAGTTTAGAAAATTGAAGTTGCTGGATTATTTTTGGTTGATATAAATACAATACTTTCTTCAGAAAAACTTCATTTACTCTAACTATTTAATAATTAGTACAACAGAGCTGCATAAAATTGACACAAAATAAAGATTTAAAGAAATACAACACTATCAGAAATATTTTTAAGATTACAAAGTACATTTGTAATTGCGAAGTTCTGCTTTTTGAATCTTTTGTTACTCTTGGACTTTAATATATCCAGATTATTAAAATTGATTCACTAATCTTCCAGATTAAAGATATGAAGTTAACACGTAAATTTCTGGAACAACTATTTTGGGAGTTGTGAACTTTTCTCAGTTCATTGAAAATTGTTTACATAGCTGTTCATTTAGCATTTTTAATAAACACCCAATTTCTTGAATTATGAAACACCACAAGTCTTGTACAGATGAATCTTGAAGATATAATATAAACTCCTCTTGCATTAGGGATTACCCACTTGTGAATTAACCTTTTTGTATATGCCATTAAGATCAAAGCAAATGTGCAACATGCAGTTATTCAAGGTTATTTCGTTTTCTTTAATTAAGTTGAGTTAATGTACACCCTCTACACATTACAAGCATAGGTTAAATAAAAAGGTCAAGAAAAAGAGACAGTTTTTACAAACAGTCTGAACAAATTCCTCTAAGCAATATTGAAAAAAACACCAACTTTTATTAAAATTCAAACAAGTTAGACAAAAAGTGTATGGCTTAATGTTTTTGAAATATTTGGATCCTATATTGAGTGGTGTTTTTGAAGAGCTTTGAACCACATTACATCTGTGCAATATTAGGATTCTGGTGTCTTCTATACATGATAAGGCCTTCCGATCTTAGCACCCATACTCTGATAGAATAATAGAATTCGAATTGAATAATCTATCAAGCATTGAGTGATTCATAAGAAACACTTAGAGAACACAGTTATGACCATTTGCTGGAAGCAGAGAAACGAAAATATTTTTTGATTATTAAATTACACAACATTATTTTTCTTTGGAGATCCTGGGATATGATTTAGAATACAATGTGTAATCAACAGAGAGCTGTTTGAATAAGAGATATTTCTTTGGCACCCTTTTATACTTTTCATGTATCTCATTTGGTGTATCATTGAGTGAGGTTTGTGGTATCAAGTAATTTTGATATTTTACACTCAATTACATCTAAACAATTACTCTTCTCTTTGGATTTTGATCTTTATAGTGTAATCATAACTTCAAAAAAAGTTGACAACTAAATCTGTATCAGTAATATAAACGATGCGATTCAGGCATGTGGCAATCATTATATCCAGCTAAAGAAATTATACAGACATAGTTACAGAACATCTATTTTACATAACCTAACATTACGGCATATTGTGTAGGTTCCGTTGATGGAGGTAATATACATTTGTTTGCAGTGACTTGGAGGTTTTTGGTGTTGGATTCTTTATACATCAGATATGTAATAATATTATGTTATGGCACTCCACATCAGATGTTGGTAACAGACCTTGCCAAGAATTAATGTTTGGAAGGAAATAGCATGTGACAGAATAAGGCTTGTCTTCTTTTGCAGTTTTTTAAAGTTATTTAAAATCATTTATAATCATTTGCAGGTTAAGATAGCCATTATTCAATATGTGAAGTACATATGGCCCAATGTCTGAAAATGCACCCAACTTTTCTTTTTCCAGTGCACTTTTATCAGTTGATTTTGTTTGGCAGTTTTGTAAGGTCTGGGACTTGGTGCATAGGAAGCTTGGAATTTGAGGCATTTATATCTTGCATTGGAAACAATGTAGGCAAAATAGTTTGGTGAATTGTTTTTCATCCAAATATTGGACCTCCAACAGACTTTACACATTATAAAAGATACAAAAACAATGGTGTATTGTTACACAAATGTTGCAGAGTGGAAAGGGAAGCTGACTTAATGCCCCATACACAATGAAGTCTGGTGTTGAAAGTCTTCAAGGTCATCCAGCAGATTGGGAGTCTAGTGTTGAAAGTCTTCAAGGTCATGCAGCAGATTTTTTTTATGTTCTTTGCATTTGTTTGATGTAATGATCTAGGAAGAAACACAAGTATGATGCATGATTTTATCTCCTATTGAATCCCTACAAATGTCTCCCAAAGCAAATACATGCATCACAGTTTAATTAATCTTTCCTGCTTTTTGTTTTGTTGTTTCTGTTGTTGTTTTTTTTTCTCTTCATTTAAAATCTTAGGAACTTGAAAGAAATGTGATATGTTTGAAAGAACTGAATAGCCATCTCGTTGTAGAACTGCCATTGCAACTTCACTTCATTAATCTGTCTGATGAAGGGGTTTTTTTTCTCTTTCTTTTTTTGTGAGTTAGATAATTAATAAGATATTGAAGTTATTAAGATTTCAGTCACCAAACAGACTGTTAATTTTGTTAATTAGTTCTGAAGATTCTTACAGGAGTGGTATACTGTTATATTTTTTTGGAGATGAAGGAAGGGCCTAAACTATTTAGATTTATGTGTTTAGTTAATTGTTGAGGGCATGGACCTTACCCTAAAGATAATTCATGTGAGAGGACATCTGGAGATGATCTTTTCCATCATTACTTGAAGTACTGGTACGCTAATTATGCCTCAACATCAACATTCATTAACATCAGTACTATCTATATATCCCGGAACAGACACAACCACTGCAGGTTTTGTCATGACTTGTGGTGACAAGTCTATATGTATTGAATATTTTTATGTACTGTTTGGTTGCGTTTTTTGTTGTAACCTTGAGCAAGCCAGCCATAATACAGGGTTCCATGATTTTTAGATCTCAGTATTCAACCAGTTTATATCTAGCTTTATAAGCGATTTTTCATTTTCAGGATTTTCATAAAAATGCCAGCAAAAGTTTGAAAAATTTTCTTAAAGTGTATAGCCTTGTTTTTAAATTCAAAATGTTTTGGCTTTTACAGTAGAAAGATTTCATGAGAAAGTATGACATTCATGTGGGCAAAATATATGCACAAATATTGTTCAACTTTTCAGCACATGATTAAAAAGATTGTTTTACTTCAGTATTTAAACATTTTTAAAGACAGGATTGATATTTGTGACAAGTCTTCCTCTTTATTAATTATTTATGGAACTTTAGAAATTATAGAATACAAGTTATCTACTATACCACAGTATATCAGATGAGACATTAAGGAAACTTTTTTGTCTGGACTCACATTAGGTTGGTGACATCTTGCACTTACACATCTTGTCTGGACTCCCATTAAATAAGTGTCATCTTGCACTGGTCTCCCATCTACCTTATTTCTTTACACTGGACATGCAGTGTACCTATAACAAAGTAATTTTCTAAAAATGCCTTATATCACTACATGTACTGTTATGCAAACTTAAAGCAAGGATGAAGAGAAAATTAAGATGAAAAAAGTTACAAGATAATCTTCTCCGAAAGTAAAAGAAGTACAAAAAAAAAGTTGTTCCTTTTCACCTGAATGACCCTGCACCTATTGCAAATGGTTTTTTTTTTTTTTTATGTGCATCCTGGGACTGAAATGCCACTGACTTGAAATAAAATCTGACAAGAGAGGAACCTGAAGAGTTGCGATAACTGTGAGATATCGGAGGCTGGCCTTGTATTTGCCCCCCAGTGACCATAATTCCCTGTCAGGGCTAATCAGAGTGGTCATTTACTGTGATGGTCAGAAAATACAATAATGCTCATCTGACAGTTTCACGGTAGTCAGCATTCTGTATTTTCAACCATTGAACTTATGAATGCTGAGCTTAACTATGGCATTGTCTACCGTTCTAGAAATTAGAAAAAATTTGCAGTTGTTTTCATTACAAAAAATCCTTATCATATGTCACTAATGCCAAATAAAACAATATATGTGTAAGGTCTCACGACACGTTCCTTAAATATCTGTTTTGTATCTCTTTGTAATATACAACAAATTAATCATAATTTATCATTGTTTGTGATTTCTAAACTGTTTTAAAAATAAAAGACACCAAAAATTTGTGATGTTGCCAATACTAGTGATTTCCAATAGGGTTATATAGTAAACAACATCTTCTAGTATCTTTCACAAATGCCTGGTAAGGTACCTTAATTTTTTGTGAGGAATCTTTCTAAAGTGCTCAGCAATACTTCAATGACAAATTCTTGGGAAAAATTATCTATTATTTGGGAACATGACGTTTGACCTTAATAAGATAATTTTTCCATCTGATTAGCTTTTGTGTAAACTACACAATTTCAATGCAATAATGGATGCACTTTTTTTTTTTTCAAAGTAAGAGTGGGGAAAAACTTAGGATTGGTAATGTTTTGATTCAAGTGCAATTAGAATAGATGTGTAAAGTATGTAACAAGGCTATTTACAGAATACACATTTCCATATGTACAATGTATTATTCTCTTGGGTCACTTTGTCATGTATTTCAGTGTTCAGAAGACCTCATGCCGTTCCTGGTATTTTTTACTAGTTTCCTGCAGGTCTCTCTGTTTGTTCAGTGTTGAACTCCATAATCATCATCCCCAGCAGCTTATTACAGACAACTCACAGAACGAGCATAAGGGATTAATAAGTTTATCCAAATAACATTTTATTTTTCTACTTTGGGACCTCTTGTTGATAAATGATGCAATTCAGGTGTAGTACAGTTTAACAGGTGCTCCAAGGATAGACCTCATGCAAGTTTTCAAATGCTTCTGTTACAGATGAGAAAGTTAATACATTTTGTTTTAAATCAAATTGAATGTAAATAAGGAGTTTCAGTGAAAAGTTTGTATA